TTATTATTATTATTATTATTATTATTATTATCATTTTTATTTTTATTATTATGCTTAAAATTCCTACTGATATTATTTTTATGCTCATTCTGTCCTACATATAATTTTAATAACAATAAAAATAAAAATAAAAATAATAATAAGACCAACAATGACAATAATAAAAACAGCAATAATAATACTAATAACAGTAATACCCACAACAATAATAATAAAAATAATAAAAATAATAATAAAAAAATAAAAATAAAAATAAAAATAATAATAATAATATTGTGTTTATTGATTGATTTGGGGTTTAGGAAGAAGATAAAATTTTGCATGTTGTATTAACATTGCCAGTCGGTCTTAGACACATGAAACTTCGATTAGACGGAGAGAAATCAGTTGATGAAGACCCTGATTGTGGGGTTTGGGAAGGGGTTGTTAAAATAGGTAGGGTTTAGGGTTTAGGGTTTAGGGTTTAGGGTTTACAAGGGTTTTGTCACGAAAATCCATTTCTTTGTCTATTTTTTGTGTATTTTTTTCGTTTTTTCTTCGTTACACTCCTCATTAACAAATAAATAAATAAATTAATTAATTAATTAATTAATTAATTTATTTGTTTATTTATTCAGGAGAACACAGCGAAGAATGGATCGATGGGGGCCGTCCTTTCGTTGCTCTGCAACAGCTGCGTATACACCCGAAGATTGGGAGGGTAGTAGAGACAAGAGGTGTAATAAATGATAATACATTTAAGCGAATTCTTTTTATGCAATTTCGTTTACTAGGTGAAGGAGATAAAGAAGATATTATATGTAATAGAATATTAAAACCCATCAATAATTCATAAGGATTAGCGTCTTATCTTTATCAACAAACAAAAGAAAAAAGATATAAAAAAATATTTAAATACATATATTATCATTGTAGTGTTTGTGCAACACACAAAAACATAAAAATGTACACAAAAATATAAACAAATACACATATATATACATGTTTATATATATATATATAAATGTTTATATATATATATATACATGTTTATACATAATATAAATATATATATAAATATATATATATATGTAAACATGTATATATATATATATATGTAGGCAAGTATACAAACAAACTTGTAAGTAGGTGTATTAATATATAAATATATATATATATATGTATATATATATATATATACATATATAAACAAATATTTAAATAATTAATATATTCACAGAAGAACTGCTAAGAAGGCAGCGAAATAATAATAAAACAAACAAACAAGCAAACAAACAATAAACAAAAAATAAATAAACAAAAACGCTAAATCTTTGTTTGTTTTATTTATTAATTAATTTATTTGCTCCGCTTGCAATGCAAAACTCAAACAAAAATCGAACAAGATATGCAGACCCAAACAACTTTATAACCCTAAACCCTAAACCCTAAACCCTAATAAGCCCTAAACCCTAAACCGTAATAAACCCTGAACCCTGAACCCTAACCAGCCCTAAACCCTAGACCCTCATAAAGCCTAAACCCTAAACCCTAATAGACCACAGTAAACCCTAGTAAAGCCTAGTAAAGTCATAAAACCCTAGTAAACCCTAAACCCTAAACCCTAATCAACCCTGATAAACCCTGCAACCCCTGATAAACCCTAATGCATCTTAGTAAACCCTAATACACTATCATAATCCCTAACAAACCCTCATAAACCCTAGAAAACCCTCATAAACCCTCATAAACCCTAATTCATCTTAACAAGCGCTAAACCCTCTTTAATTATTTGTGTGTGGTGCTGCTACCGAAGACAAAAAATATGCATTTGGAGTGTATGTACAGTTAAGTGAACTCATTTTGCTTTGTTTATATTTCTGTTTGTTTGTTTGTTTTGTTTGTTTCTGCAACAATAAAACAACAATAAAATACTCTTTCTAATTGAAAAGCAATAGTTTGTCCTTATTAACTTGCGAGAATTAACTCAATATTAAATAAACACCGACGCAAACAGACGCAGAAAATCAGCAACAATAAACCCTAACAACCCTTCAAGCAAAAGAAGATGCCAGTGCTGCAGCAGCTGCTTGTGCTGCAGCAGCTGCTTGTGCTGCAGCAGCAGCAGCAGCAGCAGCAGCAGCTTTTGCTGCAGCAGCAGCAGACGGGCTGTAAAGGTATTTGTATAATCTCTGTTTGTATTTAGCTGAGGAAGAAAACAAAAAACAAAATGAAAACCATCAACAGCAGAAAGACCTGCAGAGACACACAAAAAGATCAATAAATAAATAAATAAATAAATAAATAAAATAAATAAATAAATAAATAAATTGCATTAAGACGTCTGCAGATATAATATATACAATAAACAGATAAATCTTCATATATACAACATGCCTAGCAATGGATACACACATAAATATAAATAATATATATAATATATATATATATAATAATATATATATATGTATATATATATATATATATATTGCAATATTCACACCGATTGATTATTAATAAAATTTGTTTGACGCATCGAACAGATATAAATAACCCAAATAAAACAAGACAAAGAAAAGCAAAGAAACGAGGACTAGAAGCAGCTAGCTGCAACAGAAGCAGCTAGCTGCAGCAGCATCATCTAACTGCAGCAGCTAGCTGTAGCCAGCTAGCTAGCTAGCTGTCAGATAAGAAAGGTGTTTTGTCTCGCCTTGATGATGAGGGATCTGTTAGAAGAAATTCTGTTATAAAAATTCAACAATTCATTTTGACCTGAAAAATCCACCCAAGCAAATAAACTCTAAACCCTAGACCTTCTCTTGCATCTTCAGAGACGGTGGCTAAGGAGCCCTTCTCCCTCAAACCCTAAACCCTAAACCCTAAACCCTAAACCCTAAACCCTAAACCCTAAACCCTAAACCCTAAGGCCTGTGTTCGAAGCAAAAGCCAAAAGATTCAATTAAGCGTACATGCATCAAGGTCATGATATATTCTTTGGATATATCGATCTCTCTACTTATCTACCTATATACCTGGCTAGCTAGCTATTTCTATAGCTAGCTAGCTAGCTAGCTATTTACCCTCTCTAATATGATGCACAGAAGCATCGAGATCTTCATCAATTCTTCGAATTACTCCTATCTCTATTAATCTACTCACATACCTAACTAGCTAGCTATTTCTATAGCTAGCCATTTGTATAGCTAGCTAGCTAGCTATTTATAATAACCACCTTTTCTGATATGATGCATAGAAGCATCGAGATCATCAGCAATTCTCTGAATGATTCCTATACCTCTATATCTCTATTTATGTACCCAGCTAGCTGGCTATTTCTACAGCTAGCTAACTATTTCTACAGCTAGCTAGCTATTTCTACAGTTAGCTAGCTATTTCTACAGCTAGCTAGTCATTTCTACAGCTAGCTAGCTAGCACGCTAGCTAGCGATTTACCTTCTCTAATATGATGCATAGAGGCATCGAGATCATCATCAATTCTTTGAATCATTTCTTCTTGGTGAGCGATCATCGTCGCTACGCGCTGAAATATCGCAGCCAACTCCCCAATTACCCGCTGTACATTCTCCACTGCCTGAGTTCAAATGCACCCAAACCCTAAACCCTAAACCCTAAACCCTAAACCCTAAAAAACCCTAATAAACCCTAATAAACGATAGTCAACCCTAATAAACCTGAGAAAACCCTAGTAATAAACCCCAATGAGCGCTAATAAACCCTTTGAAAATCCTTTAAAACGTTAGGAGTAATCCTGCATATACATTAATAATAAACCCTAATGAGCAGTGATAAACCCTAAACCCTAAACCCTAATAAACCGTAATACGTCCTCATAAACCCTAACGAACTTTAAACCCTAACGCTCAAGAAAGTAAACCCCAAATACTAACATAAACAAACCCTAAACCCCAAATAAAGAGCTGCAGATACACCGCAAGCATGGGTTTATTTAATGAGTCTAATCGACGAAACAATTAATCGTAACTACATAAAAATAGCAAAAAAAGAATGTTTGATTAAATTGAGGGGAGTATACATACGCATGCAACTCATCATATAAAGCCTCATTAGGGTTCAGGGTTTAGGGTTTAGGGTTTAGGGTTTACTGCAAACCTCTGCTCTGGCTTGAGAATATGTGTTTGTCTGGCGAGGCACCAAAGTCGTTCTCTGCCCCCTAAACAAACACAACAAGAAAATAAATTAAACTTCGAAATCTTTTCTGCAAGTATATATATATATATATGTATATGTATATATATATA